TGTTCACCCATTCTCCCACATGCCCCTCCCATTTGGCAACCACCAAAATGCTCTCCGTATCCATGATTCTGTCTCCGTTCTTCTTGTTTGCTTTGTTAGTTAGATTTAATTTTTAATAGATATGTATTTTTTGCCATTTCATTGTTCATAGTTCTGATCTTCTTCCTTTCCTTAAAAAGGTCCCTTTAACATTTCATATAATAATGGTTTGGTGATGATGGACTTCTTTAGTTTTTTCTTATCTAAGAAGCTCTTTATCTGCCCTTTGATTCTAAATGATAACTTGGATGGGTAGAATGACCTTGGCTACAGGGTCCTGCTTTTCATGACTTTGAATATTTCTTGTCAATCACTTTAGCTCTCAAAGTTTCTTTTGAGAAATAAGCTAACAGTCTTATGGGAACTCCCTTGTAGGTAACTAACTGCTTTTCTCTTGCAGCTTTTAATATTTTCTCTTTATTTTTAACCTTTGGCATTTTAATTATGATATGTCTTAAAGTGGGTCTCTTTGAGTCTACCTTGTTTGAGACTCTGTGCTTCTTGGATTTGCATGTCTATTTCCTTCCCTAAATTAGAGAAGTTTTCTTTCATTATTTTTTCAAATAGATTTCTGATTTCTTGCTCTTTCTCTCTCTTTTTTTTTTCTGGCACCGCTATGATGCAAATGTTGGAATGCTTGAAGTTGTCTCAGAGGCTGCTTACACTATTTTTTTTCTTTTTTTCTGGATTCTTTTTTCTTCTTATTTTTCTGATCAATTGTTCTTTGCTTTCTTATGTCCCAAATCATTGATTTGGCTATCAGTTTCATACACTCTACTGTTATTTCCCTGGAAATTGTTCTTTATTTCAGTTAGTGTATCCTTCACTTTTCACGGGATCATTCTTATGCTGTTAATATCCTCACTGAGTTCCCTGAGCAACCTTATAACTGGCATTTTGAACTCTGCATCTGATCTCCATTTTGTCTAGTTCTTTTTCTGGGGTATTGATCTCTTCTTTCATTTGGGTCATGTTTCTTTGTCTCCTCATTTTGGAGGCCTCCCTATGTGTGTTTCTATGTATTAGATAGAGCTACTATGACTCTCTTAGTTGCATGGCCTACTAAGTAGGTGTCCTGTAGGGTCCAGTGGCATGGCCTCCCCTATCACCCAAGCTGGGTATTCTAGATGAACCTTTGTGTAGGCTAAGTACACCCTCCTCTTGTAGTTGAGACTCAATTGGTGTTGGCAGGTCAGTAGGAGGAATTTACGCCAGCCAGTCAGCGTCAAGGACTGGCTGTGACCACTGACCACCACCCTCTAACCTCTGTTGGGGATCAGCTGTGCAGGGGCTGAGTAGTAGTGCTCAGATGTGGTTTATAGCTGTTCACTGGGTGTGCTGGCCCTGGAGTTTTCCAGGTGATTCAGGCCAAGGTTAGCCCCCACCTGTGTTATGCCCTAGGGTCACCCTGCCTGACCTATAAAGCAATCTGATATGGCTTTACTTGTGCTGAGCTTGCAGTTTCCCAGGTGATGAATCTAGGCTGACTGCTGCTAGTGCCAGGCCTGGGGCCACTTAGCAAGAGGTAAAGTGGCTGGGGACTCACTGAGGCCAGCTGTTACTTGTCTGAGAGGATTTAGGAGGTTGAGAACCTTGAGACAAGACCAGCCATTCACATAGAAAAGTCCCTATTAAACAGCTTGGGGTGGGCCCATAAATTAGGTGGGACAGAGCCTCGGGAGACCCTCAGGGCAGGACAAACAGTGTGAACCAGGTTGTTGGAGTCTCAGATATGGCATCCGCCTGTCAGCTCTGTGGATCTGCAGGTGAGGGTTCAGAAAAGGGACAATGGCTTCTGCCTCCCTTTCTTTCTGGGAGAAATGTATCCCCCAGCTCCCGCCTTGATGACAGACACTTCAACCTCCCTGTGTGCACTGTTGCCTTTCAAGCTGCTACCCTGGTGCTGGAGCTCAGAGGGAATGAGTCTGAGTAAGTCCATTTGTCGGTTCTTTTTTTTTTTAGAAAGCATTTTATAAATAAATTTTTACACAAAAAAGAAACACAAATTACAGTAAGTACACAAATTATTAGTGAGGTGGACCCCCCAGCCCTTCTTTTCCACAGTGGGAAAACAGATCAGAAGAGAAAAAATGATTCTGTCTTGTTAATTCTTTCCATCTGTAGTGATAGTTTTTCAAGTAGCGTTTCTATTCCTTTGCTGGTGTTCTTGTTCTTTTCCAATGTGGGAATCAGGCTTTTCAGTACAGCTTTGACTTTGTCTGCAACTTCTTGATTAGAACTCTGAAGAGCTAGAAAGAATAATGGCACCTCAGTTCACACTAGCCCAGGACTTTAGGTTCTTCATACCAACATGCTCTACAAGTGTTTTTGCAAAACAACCTTCTCTTCCATTTTCTTTCATCTTTTTATATTGCTCTATTAACCACTTCAGAACAAGATGTCCCACAGGATGTTCTGCAATGTGAAGCTCTCCATTTTTGCCACCAGGATGCAGTTCTGATGCTGCCAAGCTGGCAATGGCATTCATGGCAGGCTGAACATCTCCAATGGCAGCTCTCAGAATGTCAGACACCAACACACATGCAGACTTATCTAGCACCACTTCCTGGGCATGATCTTGCAGGTAATTTAACAAAGCTGGAGAGATGGATTCTAGGAGCTCTCGGCGTCGGATCTCTGGATCTTTCTTACTGCGTGCATTTCCATTTCCCTTCTGCAGAACTTCAATGATTTCTCATACTGTATGTGTAGGATCTCTGGGGCTTAGTAGGTACAACAGGACCTTCCTTCCATACTTGTCATTTATTATGTTAGGCAAGGAACTAATAATTTCTGATATGATTATTTGCTTCACAAGCTTAGTATCATCAATACAATCAAATGCTGCCAATAAAACCAAATGGGAGTACTGGCCATTAGCCACTTTTTCAACGTAAGTCTTCATTGTTTTCACAATCACTTTCCTGTCCTTGGACGTGCCATGCCACAGGCAGTGCACGGCCACTCTGGCACCACCATGTGTGGGTGCTAGGTATATCAGCGCTTCCCAGATGGCTTTGATCATTTCTGATCTTTGCTTTGGTGGTGCTTAGGTAAAAAAGTCCAAGAATACTTTATGTACCAATGAGTGCTTAATCACAGCTTCCTTTTGAGCCATTGGAGTTAGAATCTGTTTCATTTCATCCATGATAAGCTCTAGTTTTTCTGGCTGTACTTCTAATACTTTGTTCAGAGTTGGGTGATCTGCTGACTTGTAAAGCTAAAACGTGTTCCCATAGAGCCCCTCTGTCAACATGTTCCTCAGCTCCAAAACAGCTTTGTCATTGTATGCGTACTCCACGATGACCAATGCTTCCGCATGTCGGAGCATCTTCCTCATGTGGCCTTTAAAACTTCGTATTATCTCTGCAATCTGTGGTTTACTCCCATACATGAGAAATTTTTTAACAACATTTCTGGAATATTTTGCTTTACTTAGTTCAACCAAATCATCTCGTAGTTCTTCAAAAGCCTGCTTTCTCTGTTCTTCATTGCCATACTGAATGTAAGACTGGATCACACGGGTTGAATCATGTGCAAATGCAATAGTTTAAATTTTTCCTTGAATCAACTTCTGCAAATCACTTATCAACTTCATTCTTTTTTCTTTGTCACAATCTTTTCTTCGTATGATCTCCCAAATCTGCTTTGCCCAAACAACAATGTCATAGTTGGTTCTGTCACTGAGTTATCTGCTTTGCTTCAGTTCTTTCTTCTTTTTGAAATCATCTCATTTGGGTTTCTTGGCTGTTGATTCATCACTTTTTCCATCTGGCTGGAATTTTCTCTTCTTGTTGAATTTATTTGCCTGCTGGAATTTGTTCTTTTGTATTTTATCTCCTTGCTGCTTATTCTTGAACTGCTTCACACATTTTTTCCCTGGTTTTGTGGCACTTTTCTGAAAGTTCTTTGATGTGGTTTTAGGCCCACCTTCCTTAACAACTTTTCTTGGGAATGTCTTTGAAGAACCAGAATCATTATTTTTATAAAATATGTTTGTCTCTTGGGATGTCTTTGTACCTTTTCCTATGAATTTTTTTTGGTTTGACTTCCATCATGGCAACTCGCACACATGTGGTTCAGTCAGAAGTAGCTCCCTGCTCCCATTTGTAGGTTCTTTAAGAGGAACTGCTTGGGACTCTAGAAGTTTCTTCTACCTTCTCAATCCCTGCTGGTTTTTGCAGCCAGAAGTTATGGTGGGTTATCTTCCTGGCACTGGAACCCTGGGCTGGGGCACTTGGTGTAGGGCTGGGACTCCTCACTCCTGAGATATGCCCCCCAAATTGTTACCCATCACACATGGGTATGGAACCAGCCAGTTCTGCATCTTGGCCCCTCCTACCAGTCTGGATGGACGTGGTTTCTTTAATTCCACAGCTGTCAGACTTCCACTCAACTTGATTTCTGATGGTTCTACATGATGCTTATTCTACATTTTAGTTGTAATTTTGATGTGGTTGTGCAAGGAGATGAGCCATGTTTACCTCTGCTGCCATCTTGACTGGAAATCTGGACCCAGTTTAGACTTCTGTCCTCCAGAACTATAAGAAAATAAATACATGTTCCTGTAAGCCACTAAGTAGGTGGTCACTTGCCAGAACAACAGAAGACTAATACACCTGGACTTGTTAAAAAGTTACTAGCAGTTTCCAAGAGAAAGACAAGAGTGAATCATAGATTTGGGACTGGCACACTGTCACTTCTGTCACAGTCTATGGGCCAAAGATATCACAAGTTCATTCCAACCTCAAGGGTTGGAGAAATGGACCCCACTTCTTGATGGATTCTATTTCTCTCACTTCCTGATGGGAGAAACTGGAAAGTCACATTGTAAAGGGGTGTGGGGACCAAGCAGGGTAATTGCAATGAATCTACCACCATGCCCTTTACAGAGTGGCAGAGGACATTCAAAAGCAACATCTCAACCCGGTCTCTTTCTCATTTCCAGGGCCACAGGGAGCATGGGGGTCTGGAACTCGGGCAGCGGTATCTTCCTAAGTCTTTGGGGAACATACGTGTCTCCAAGAAGCCCTGGATGGATGGACTTTATCAAACATTTGGGAGTTTGTTGTTTTGTTGCTTTCATTTCGGCCGGCCTCCTCTCAGTTGCCTTCTCCTGGTTTCTGTCCTCATCTGTAGTCTTCACCACCTCCTGGGTGATCCTGTGTGTTCTGCTGTGCTGCTCCAAGCACGTGAGATGTTTCATTCTCCTCTTCTTCCTCTCCTGTGGCCTGCGTGAAGGCAGGAACGCTTTGATCGCAGCTGGCACAGGGACAGTCATCTTTGGACACGTGGAAAATATCTTCCACAACTTTAAGGGTCTTCTGGACTGTATGACTTGCAACCTAAGGGCAAAGAGCTTTTCCATACATTTGCCACTTTTGAAAAGGTATATTGAAGCAATTCAGTGGATTTATGGCCTTACTACTCACCTAGATCTATTTGATGATCTTGTTTCTTGGAATCAGACCCTGGCAGTCTCTCTTTTCAGTCCCAGCCAAGCCCTGGAGGCACAGCTAAATGACACTAAAGGTGAAGTCTTGGGGGTCTTGTACCAGATGGTGACCACAACAGAGATGCTGTCCTCCCTGGGACGCCAGCTACTTGCCCTTGCAGGGCTTTTGCTGGTGCTGCTAGGCACTGGCCTCTTCATGAAGCGATTTCTGGACCCTCATGGTTGGAAGTTTGAAAACATCTACATCACCAGGCAGTTTGTTCAGTTTGATGAAAGGGAGAGGCATCAACAGAGACCCTGTGTCCTGCCATTGAATAAGAAGGAAAGGAAGAAGTATGTGGTCATCCCGTCTTTCCGGCTGACTCCTAAAGAAAGGAAGAACCTGGGGCTGTTTTTCCTCCCCATACTTACCCATCTCTACATCTGGGTGCTCTTTGCAGCCATCGATTTTCTGCTGTATTGGCTCATTTTCTCAGTGAGCAGACATTTTCAAAGCTTGCCAGCGCTGGAGGTTCACTTGAAACTGCACAGGGAGGTAGGCATTCACGGGTACTGGTCGGGGTGTATCCTGGCTGTCTGCTGGTCTGTTTGCAAAAGATGACGAACCCCCCAAGGTAGGTCAGTGTCTTACCACCTCGGGCCTCTGGTGCCTGGCACGGTGCCTCACATGCACAGGAGCCCATCAGAGGTTGGTTAAATTGAAGTCCCTGTTTTAGAGGATATCATTCTGGAAGTTGTCACTGTGTTAGTTTCCTGTGGCTGCGGTAACAAATTACCACAAAGTGTGTGGCTTAAAACAACAGAAACTTATTCTCTAATAGTTCTGGGGTTGAGAAGTCTGGAATCAGTGCTGCTAGGAGGACTTCGAGGTGGTGCTGGCAGAGACATAATCCTTTCAGGCTCTACGGGAGAATCCACCCTTTGCTTCCCCTGGCTCCTGGTGGCTGTCGGCATTCCTTGGCTTGTGGCTGCACCACCCCATCTTTGTTTCTGTCTTCACATGGCCTTCTCACCAGTGAATGTAAAATCTCTGTCTCCCTCTTAAAGGATGCGTGTGATTGCAGTGGGGCTCACCACGATAATAATTTCTCCATCTCAAGGTCCTTAATTGAATCACATCTGCAAAGTCCATTTTTCCCCCTAAATAAAACCACACTTACAGATTTGGGGGTTAGAATTTTATACTGTTGGGAGCCCATTTTTCAGTCTCCTACAATCAACGGACACTGAAATATGAGAATAGGGGTCTCTGATGGGGAACACAAAGTTGATCCTCAAGCAAGGGTACCTGGTGTGAACCCCAAGGCCAGATTAGGGGCCTGACTTTCCCTCTCCTCAGACCTGTTATGCAAGTAGACTGCGAGCGCCTTCTCTGAAGGAGAATGTCTTTTTTTTTTGAGTCCCAAGTCCTTCTCAAACAGGAGGCATCCTAAGGCATCGGTGTAGTGTTTAAGAGGATGGCCTTTGAAAAAGAGCTCCTAAGTAACCAAACAATACGGCTGCTGCTAGTGCCATGAAGAAATGAAACCAGCTACACTTTTGTTTTTTAGACAACTTAGGTCAGTGCTTTCAACCTTAAGTTTGTTAAGAATATCCTGGGGTGAATGCAGAACCTTAGGCCTCAATTTACAGAGATTCTGTTTTAATCAAGGGAGCACTTTTAATAAGCACTTCATTGATTTCAAAGCAGGTGGTCCATAGATCACCCTTCAAGAAACTCAGGTTCTTCAGGTGCTGGAAAGCAAACATCTTATAAACCAGTGGCCCTGGGGCAGCCTTCCCTGGGAGCTGAACAAGCCAATCCGATGCTCCCACCTGGCCCCTGGATCTGACCAGACTGAGGTGAGGCCTGGGTGAGGCATTCATAAGAACTCCCGAGTAATTTCAAGCCAAGATCGAGAATCGCTATTCTAAACCCACCGTCCAAAGAATGGCACCATCGGATAGAGCCACACAAATCTTCATTAGCCAAGACACTGTGTCTCCCTGAGCTTGTGCCTCCTGAGTCTTGGGGCATCTGCCTTTGTTCCCTCCATTCTCACTTCTCTAGGCAACTGAGTTCTAACAGCAAATGCCGTGGTCTTGTGTGCCCCATCTCTTCTCGTTTCCATTTGTCCGTGTGGGAATTTGTGATTATGGGGTCATTTTAGAGGATCTGGATATTGTCAGAGGCTTGTTTTATATTTTTGGTCACCCAGAAATTGTGAAACTGAGCTAGGTGGGAAGTGCACTTCTGCATGTATGTGTTGAATGTGTTGTGTGTGTGTTTACGTGCTTGTATAGTGTGTGCGTGCAAGACGGGGGCGGGGAGAGTTATTCATGCTGGGGTGTACGCTTGCCCAAGCAGCTGCTTCTTCACATCTGATTTCCCTTCTCTTTACTGAGCTACCACAGCTTGTGCCCGGCGCGGGGGAAGTCTCAGAGGGGATTGCCTGCAAATCCTCCTTTGAAGCCCCACTTCCCACGTCTCTCTTTGTTTCTGGGCTGGGATCTGCCCCTTTTCTTCTGGCTCAGCAGGTCCGTCCAGGCCCCTGCCCCTCCTGCCCCGGGGCTGCTTCTCCGAGTTGATTACTGAGCGCGCTGCGTCCCCTGAAGACTTTAGTTAATTACAAGAACCCTGTTGCTGTAGGTATCTGGAGCAGGGTGGATAATGGAAGCTGTGCTTCAAGTGAAAGTCAAACAAGAGTTTCAGACAGGCTTGATCCTGGGCGGGGGGCGGCAGGGGGGTGGGGGGGCTAGTTAAAGGGCCTCTGTCCTCCCCTGGGCCCCCATTTACCTCCTGTTTTTATTTTTACTCTCCCCCTCTCCTTCCTTCTTTTTGTTTCTTTCTCATTGATTTCTCTCTCAGTCAACAACCATGTCCATTTTGTGAGGTCTCGCCATTTAGACAAACGGTAAAAACGTTAAGCTCCGCCTTCGAAAAAAGGCCCAGAAGATTTCCGATGACAGTGTCCTCACAAATAAATTTTTGGGCGTGGGGTCCCAGGGATGCAAAGATGTCCGGACCCTGATGGCTGCCACAGAGGGGCTCAGTCCTGGCGGGGGAGGCCGCACATCCACTCACAGGGACAGCACAAGAGCGGGCGCGGGAACAGATGTGAGGCCGAGGTGGCTGAGGGAGCTCCCCTCAGACTCTCGCCAATGGGGCCTGGGACGCAGTGCTGCTAGCAGCGTCCCGCGACCAGCCGTGCCCTGCCCTTACCCCAGGACGCCCTTGGAGGCTCCTGGTCTCTCCACCGTTGCAGATTTGCGAAGGAGAAGTCAGCAGGGAGAGAGACATCTGCTCAAGGTTTGGCCGACATGTCTCTCCTACTTTCATACAATTTTAAATGAAAAAGAAAGATGGGAAATGACCCGAACTGAGCTAGCTGGAGGGGTTGGCATTGTAAGAACAAAGAGCCATAGTTGTTACTCACTGAGCACCTACTATGTGCATAGCATTTGTCTAGATTAGCTTTCTGGGACTGTCTGATGCCAGAGCAGGTTCTCTGTCCATTACTCAGCCCTGTCTTGGCAAATTGTTTACTTAAGAGAGGTAAACACATTTTAAAACATCAGGGTACCATTTAGTATATTGCTCTGGATTTTGAGAGAGTTCATTCATCTTCCACATTACCCTCCACTAGCCCTGTACAAAAATACTCACTCAATCTTTATGAAGCCCTGACTCCCAGCTGCAAAATCCCCGGTTAGTTTCCCAGACTAAATAACTTCTCCCCAGACTGAACACCCGCTGCTTTCTTATTGCAGGATTTCTCATCACTGACTCAGTCGATGTGTTTGTTTCTTCGATACTATTAAAAAGAGTGCATGCCTTTGCTCTGGGGATAGAAATCTCTCTATTTAATTGTAGGCAAACTATCTTAATAAAAGAAAAGGAGAGGCAACACAAATGCCCTTCATTGCTTAGCCATAGAGCTGGGGAAATTACAGATTTCCCTTCACTTTTGTATAGAGGTCCCTGGTTTGAGATTTCCAGGTTCAACACAGGTATTAGGGTACATCCAAGGTGGCTGGTGTTCTCTGGGTGTGGTAGGGCTCTTTCTCAAAAGTTGTGGCCCCAGGACACTGGGGTGCAGTGGTGATAATAACTTACTGAGGACTCCAGTCTATAAGGTTAATGCTCCATCTCCAAGGTGTGTAATTTACCCTGGGAGCAGTTTATTCATGGGAAGGATCTGGTCCATTAATTCCTGTTTTACCAAATTAGAAAACAAATCCAATGAGCGATTAAATGACTTTCTCAGGTCAGAGAAAAGAAAGAGCTGAATCAGCACACACCTCTCTTGTTGGTGGCTTGGCTGGGTGGCTGAATGTCATCTTCTGCCCTCTGCGTCAGTTTGCTGAGAGCAACCGATTCGTTCTCTTGCATACCAGCAGGAAGGAATGCACCCTTCTGGAGCATCCAAGAGATAAGAAAAGGTCCTATTTTGAGACCTCTAAAAATAGGATTTTAGAGCTACCTTCAGTAAAGACTATTCTTAGTATTCTTGCACTAAGAATAATTCCCCTTCCCCACCAGCTCTAGAATGGTGACTTAGAACATAATTTAATGACTTTACATCTTTATGACCTGGTGGTCTCATGGGAGGCAAATGGCTGGGCCTTAAGAGGTTATGCTCCAAAAAACGTCGCCTCCATTTGAGTTAAAAACCATCTTTCATTAGCCCCATATGCCCTAATGTATAGAAACAGGTGCTCCATAAAAATGGCTTATGTGGTCAAATTTTTAGGATAACAGCTGGCTGAAGTTAAACAGATTTCTCTGCCTTCTTCTCAGAGCCTTCAGAAGTTTTATGGGCACCGTGACTCTCCAAAGAAGGGACAAGTAGACAAACTTGTTTGACTCCCTTTTTCAAGGAAACCTATATCTCCACAAACCCACTTTGGAAAACACTGCAGTCATTACAGATAAGGCTCACTGCTTGGCCTTTACTCCAGTCACAAAAGGAAACATGGCAGCTCCTTCTGCCAAGGCTCCCTCCCCACTTTAAGACAAATGATATATGTCACGGGGCAGTAGTGAGAAAGACCAGGAATGAGTATGAAATGCCATGGGTCTTGATGATTTTATTCTTCTGTTTTAGGAGCAAGGAACTGAAAACATCATCCATGATTCTTCTTTTAACATATCTCTGTTTGAACCCAACTGCATCCCTAAACCAAAGCTCCTTCTGTCTAAGACCTGGATTCCTCTCAGTATTATTCTTGTGATACTAGTGGTGCTAGGACTGCTGTCCTCCTTCCTGATGCAGCTTAAAATCCTGGTGTCAGCATCTTTCTACCCGAGCGTGCAGAGGGAGCGCATCCAACACTTGCATGCGAAGCTACTGAAAAAAAGGTCAAAACAGCCAGTCAGAGAAGGAAAAAAGCAGCTGAGCCTGTACTTTACAAAGGTAAGGCTGAGATGAGGGTATAAGCTGTAATTAAGGAAATTTTGAGTTTGTGGGAAAAATGGAATTTCAAAGCATTCTTCTACTTCCCATTATGGTTATATCCTTAGCAACAGATGGGCCACTGACATAGATGGAGGGATTAAGAGGTAAACATGGCAAAGGCTTGCAGCGTCGTGATTTTAAGTGCTGGTCTAGAGGGTTCTATAAGCCATCCTCCCAACAATGATTGCAAATGAGGATGTTTAGTCATATTATAGAGACTACTGGGAAGGCCCTTTACAATGGCTATTAAAGGACAATGTCCAGTAAGGAATTACTTTACTGGGTCAAGAATAAATAAATAACAGAGAGGGAAATTATCTACTATAGCTTGGTAAACTATAAAGAATTTGCTCTTTCTCTGGCATATGTAATATATATATGATACCTACATCATGATATATATATATATATATGTATGCTTATATACATATATGGTAACATAATGACTTTCATACACATAAAATAAATGCTTGTCAAAGAATTTGACTTATTAATAAAAGAGTAAACAATAAAAAATTCTAACAAATTCAAAGAGCAATTCAAAGTGCACAGATGTATAGGCCATCAGGAATACCAAAATGAATTTGCTTCATAGATGCAAAACTGACTTCTTGCACAAGGGCACATGGGAGGATCAATTGTACTCCATAGGGCAAAATTTATTTGCAGGTCCCCGGACAAGAATCCTTTGCATTGTTGCTATCAGCTGTCTCCATTGTACACCATTGGGAAATAGCTCATAGACAATGAAAGACCAAGATAACCCACAAGAATCATTTTTTTCTGGCCATTTCAAAGTCTTCCTCAGTTTTTCCCTACACCAGTAGCCCCACGATGAGAAGTTTATGTCAGGGGCATTTGAAATGACTCTGATGCTCATTCATCCACCCTTCTGTCTCTTCAGATTCATTTCTGGCTTCCGGTCCTGAAAGAGATTAGAAAGAAGCAAGTGGGCCCCGCAGGGAAGACCGTCTGCGAGAGACCCCCCGTAATGGCTCGGCCACACTCCACCAGCAGTTCTCCCGAGGCTGCAGGCGGTGCTCACCATTCACGCCCAGCGCTGGCCAGCTAACCGTGCTGCGCGCTCCTTCAGGGCTCCGAGTCCGTGGCCAAACCACTTTTCTTCATGAGGGCCAAAGGGCTACCAGGTAAATGGTTATGTCATCTGTCTTCCAAGTGAGGGACATGATCTAGCCTGTGTCACAATGTAATAGTGCCATTACCAAGGCGTTTGAGGATGTCTCAGCATGGAGTAACACCCAAAGGAAAAAATGGAAAAGAAATCAACACCTCTGCTGCGCGAGCAAATACCGAGGAGAATATACATGCATAATGCCAGTAAAATATCTCTAATCTTTCTGTCCCTTCCCTGCCTTTCTCAGCGTCTTTCATAGCTATTCCCGGCTCTGACAACTGTCTCTCTCTCTCCCCTGCCCCCTTATTCAAGGGCTGTTTCCGACGCCCGTCTCCAGCAGCTTCTGGTTCCTTCTCACCAGCCCCCCTCCTCCTGCCCCTCCTTTTCTGCATCTCTTTGTTTTCCTCTTCTACCAAACCCTCCAGCCACGCTGATTTAGGGACCACGTTTATCAAAATCATATGAAACGTTTGTTAAAGCGCACACCTTAGGCCTCCTTTTCACTGTATGAACACATACTCTGCGGTTCAGGGGCCTCCCTCCCCTCTACTCTAGACACCCTAGCAGGAGAAAAGCCACCTCGAATACTGATTTTCCTATCTTGAAAGTCCAAGAATCGATAAGAAATAAAGAAACATTATTTTTTTTCTTTTCAACTTTTATTTTGAAAAATTTTCAAACTTATACAAAGGTTTTAAAACAGTACAGAGTTCCATTTACCCTTCACCCATCAACCCCAAATGTTAAAAATCTTACATAACCTTAGCATAATTATCAAAACCAAGGAAATAATGTTGAAAAATGTATAATTTGCAGAGTTTCTTGAATTTTTCACCAATTGTCCCACTAATACCCTTTTTCTGATCCTTGACTGAATCCAGGCTCACACCTTGCAGTCCTTTGTCATGGTTTCTTGGTCTCTTCCAATTAGTAATAGTTCCTCACTCTTTCTTTTTCATTTCATTACCTTGATACTTCTGGAGAGTACTGACCGGTTATTTGTAAAATGTCCTTTGATTTGGGTTTGTCTGATGTTCCATGTAAGTAAACCCAGATGATGCAGCTTTGGCAAGAACACTACAGAAGCAATGGTGCGCTCTTCTCAGTGATATGAGGAGGTGTACGATGCGGATGTGTCTCGTTACTGGGGAGGTTACCTTTCATCATTCGTTCAGGTGTGGTCTGCCAGGTTCTCCTGGTGTTAAATCACTATTTTCCCCTTTGTAATTACTAAGTATGGTCTCAAAGGGAAAACACTTTGAGACCATGCAAATATCTTGTTTGTCACTCTCCCCTTCTGCTTTGATTTTAACATCCATGGATGCGAAACCATGGCCGCCAAATAGTGGTTTTCTGTTTTTGTATCTCCAACATTTCTGAATTGGAATTCTACACTATCCCCAGAATGAAACACTTTTTTGAAAACTAAACTTTGTTTCAGGCACCTGTGTATGCATTTCACACATACAATCTCATTTCTGTTTCACGACAACCCTGTGAGGGGGCTGTAACTACTTCCATGTTGTAAATCAGGCATCTCGCCCCCTCAGGCCCTGACTTAGCTGCCTGGGGTGGGGCCCAGGCACCAATATGTTCAAAGCTGCTGGGTGGTTCTAACGGGGTAGCCAGGATGGAGAACCACCATCCCAGCATGTTTACAGAGCTGTAGGTCTTTTGATGTAGGTCTTCAATGGTGAAATTTCTCTAACAAGAGGAGCCTACATTGGAAATGTGTCTAATTCAGCATTTCCCAAAGTGTGTTCCTAAGACCACCAGTCCCTTAGTTGTTCCATAAAATGAGTTATGTGATATTAGTAAGCCCATACCATCTCCCTGCCTTCTAACCTTGAATATAAAGTATGCTGGCATAATGCAAAAACTTTGAGAAGTTTATTTTAACCTCATTTCATGCAGAATTCCCCCAAATTACTAAATCATGGAATAATTTTATCAGTTATAACTATTATTATCACATAGGACCAGTTCTACACCCATACTCTGATAAAATGCTGACACAACTGGTACAACTTTGAGCCAAAAAAAGAATCAGAGAAGTGAATATGCATTTATAGTTTTGGCTTGTTTAAATATTCTGATGATTTTATGCTTTATTTGTGTTTTCTAAACAAATGAATGTATATAATAATAAACTAATGCAATGTGTGAATTTTTGTACTCATTGTGTGTTTATTCCTCCTACAGATAAGGGATCTTTCCCACATTAACTAAGACCAAGAATCAACTGCTCAATTTTTAAAGGAAATGGGATGCCTTTCAAAATTCAGCTAAATAACTAACTTACTTATCTACCTAACAACATCAACGTCTCCAGCAAACACGCGAACAGGGCACAGAGAAGGTGTTGGTGACACCCGCACAGCTCCCCATGGTCCCTGCCCTTGGCACGCTTCCAGCGTAGTCAGGAAGGGAGACAGACGCTCAGGCCGTGAAGAACGATACACAGCAGCTTTAGGCCACACCTTTGTGGGACCATGGCCAGACTCCCTGCCCTCGCCTGCTGCAAGTGCCCAGTGTGCTCTTTTCTATGAGGAGGGCACTAGAGGGGTTGGTAAAGGGGGTTTAATTTTCTTTAAATTAAAACTACTTTTCTGAAGTAGCCTAACCTCTTCTGTTTCCAACAGACCGACTTTGACCAGGTCACGAGGCTTCTGGGGAGCCTCTGGCCGTTTCTATCTGTTGGGCCAGCTTAGCCTTACGCCGACAGGCTTGGCCCCTTGGAAGGACAGAATGGCAAGGAGGTGCTGTCACAAAGGCAACTTTGATCTTGAAAATAAGATGTAGGCTTGCTCATTAGGACCAGTCTAACTTGGGAGATAAAATGCTTATGAAATTGCAGCGTATCCACTTTAGAGTTCAATGAATGGTCAGTTAAATTTTTTGAGACATCTATTGAGAAATGTGCTTTGTTAATCTTGTAGAGGCAGAAAGATACGGCCCACAGTAATTTAATAGAGCTTTCTTTTTCACCTCTAATTTTAATGGCTTATAAAATTATATTGCATTATAGTCAAAGCCACTATTTCTCATCTCTTGAATCCCAACATTGTAGCTGTATTCTGTCAGAGTCTTTCAGCTGTTATTCTGGTGTCCTCATTGACTCCATATTTGGTGTCAGCTGTGTTTCTCTGTGACAGTAAGATACAGTCATTGCAAACACCTTCATAGGCATAGATCTCTTTTATGGTTCTACCTGGGATGTTAAACATTGTCTTTCTTTTTTATAATATTTTACATCTGCTGTTTTCTCTGCTAGAATCTAATCAATCCTGATTATATTATGGGATATGTTGATGTTTTTATATATTATGTATTTTTGCCTTCATCCACCTGAGGCTGGGGGACATACCCTAAGAGAGCAAGAACCGGTTTTCCCACCCAAAGTCAGTAATAGTTACAAAGACAATTGAAGTCAATTGTTTTGTTTAACTTATACTATAGGAGAGGGAGGAACTGGCTAAAAAAAAGGTGAGTGCAGGTTGACTGTAGTGATATATCTATATTTAAAAGCCTGTTACATTAGGCCAACATAACACCTACCCAGTGGGAAAGAAAGATTTAGATTAATAGGTGGCTGAGACCACCACACTTTCAGGCTCAAAGTCTCTTTTGGTTTTAATCACTAATGGTTACAGTGACTTTTTTTAAAAACAGGAAAAGGAGGTGAATAACAAGATATAGAGGATAAGAGCCTTTTATCATCTAAATTCTGGGTGTCAATAAACCTCACTTTTGTTGTTAGAAAGTAGAAGAAATCAGAGTGAAATTGCCGTATGAGGTCTTTGTGTAAATGCAAACAGAAAGGCAAAAAAGCAGTAACAGAAATTAAAGCGTAATCAGCCACAGTAACTACAATGAAGGCAGCACAAGTTTGCATTCCTTGACTGGATGCCGAGGAAATACAGTGTGGCCTGCGAGGTGTCCCCACCCCCACCTCACTCAGCAAAGACAAGGAATGCTGTGCCTACGCCGCCGAGGAAGAGGACAGGCTTAGGGGACACACAGAGGGGCAGGAAGGGCGGACATACAGACGCAGATGTCCACCCACTCATTGCCCAAAGTTGGCTGATCATCAGAATTGCCTTTTGAAGGTTAAAAGATAAAATAAAATTACAGATTCCCAAACCTAAACCCAGTTACACCGACTGAAGAGTGAGGGAGGGTCCTGGAAATCTGTATTGTGAGGGACTTCATGGTTACTTGAGATGATTCAGCAGATTTGGTAACCACTGCTTTAGAGCAAGACTTGGAGAGGAGAGATTGTTGGTTTATTGTAAAAAAAAAAAAAAAAAAAAAAAAAAGAAGCAGCCCACGTCTATGCAGTATCTACTTAATTAGTTTTGTGGATATTTACACAGGACTCCCACTTTAGTTGATGCTGAAGGAACTATTATTCCATCAAGTTTCTTCAATAATGCAAAACGCTGATCATCAAAACTGGATTGTTCTCACGTCCTGCGGCCCAACTCCCACACTCGTGTAAATGAGCACCGGAGCAAAACGCAACCCACGACGGCGTCATGAATTAGACACGTGTAACCAGTGGTTAACTATTTATCAAACATGAGTTGGTACCCAATATTATTTTTTCATTAAATTATTTCAATTTAGGGAATGGGCTATCACATTTTTAAAAAATGAAAGTTAACCTTGGTATGGAAATTACATGATAGAATACAAAGAACAAATTTTTGGAGTGGGGAAGGCTGGATTCAAACCTTACTTCTGCTTATTATTCATGGCATCAGCTTAGGCAATTCAGCTCTTATCTCTCTG